TTCCCACGCCTTACGTGGAAAGGATTTGAATCAGAAAGATGAGGAATTTAATGAATCCTTAGTATGAATCTGCAGTTCACTGAGTTCACCCCCCTCTCTCTGATTCATTAATTATGTGCATCGATTTACTCATTTATACAAATAAAAGTCGACAACTCATACAAACCCCATCTGTCATCTAAACTCTTTACCTGTCAGGTGCAAAAGATCAGGTTCACATGGGAAGGTTAAACAGATTTACATGCATGGTTATGCACAAGAATATTTTCAACTAATGGTTAGCAGCTGCTTGCACTCAGATAAGGCTCAACAGAATTCATGGGGTTGGATTTGCGGCTACATACGGATTCTAGGCTAATCACTCTTTTGTCTCCACCCTCCAGCTTCTGCCATTTCTTCTCCTACTTCACGGGGTTAGGATCTCCTCTGCAGGCTGGCTGGGGGGGAGAGAGACAGGGCCTCTTGCAGCAGACTGCTGGCCAAAACAGGGCACAGGGGCCCCCACCGCCAGAGGCACTGCGGGCCAGTCCTTTGCTATTTCATAAATCAAGCGTAGGGCGCAGGGTGCTTAAATCTGGCCTGGAAATAGCAAAGGACCAGCCCGCGGTGCCTCCGGCAGCCAAAGTGGAGTGTGGGGGAGGGGACATGTGCGGGGGGGGCCTACTACCACCACTAGCCTCCCACCGGCCAGTACGCTCTCATAGAGAGGGACTCCTCCGGGTGCCGTCAGCCAAACAGTGTCGACTGGCGGCCCCTAGGGGGAGAGCCTTCTCTGTGGGGGCACCTACCGTCTGGAATGAGCTCCCCCCGGAGATACGGAGGATCCCGGATCTGCGCACCTTCCGCCGCGCTGTTAAGACCTTTTTATTCCATCAGGCGGGCTTGGCCTAATCTCTTCCCTTTTTTAAATATGTAAATTTTAATCTGTTTTTAAATTATCGGGGTGTTTTAATCTGCCTGGGCCAAAATGATTTAATTTGATTTTATCTGGTTTTTAAATTTTTTGTATCTATGTATTTTATTGTTTGGCTATTCACCGCCCTGAGTCCTTCGGGAGTAGGGCGGTATACAAATCAAATAAACTAAACTAAACTAAACACCCCATTTTGGCCAGCAGAGTGTTGCAGGAGGCTGTCCAGGCTGAAAACGGGGTACAGGGGAGTCACACGTTTTGGCTGCCAGAGGCACCGCATGGCGGGCCTTTGCTATTTCCAGCTGGCCCCGTGGGCCAGATTTAAGCACCCCCTTGGACCAGATCCGGCCCGCGGGCCCTGAATTTGACACCCCGTGCTCTAGATGTCTAGAGTTCATTTTTAGCTATAGCCTGTTTGGTTTCTTTATACTTTTGTTTACTAAATAACAGAGAAAGGGGAAGAATCTTCACACAACTTCAAAGCTTTTCCTGCTGTGAAAATCTCACATTTTCATTCCCGTCCCAGAGTGATGTGCCAGTCAGTCAAGGTCTTTGCAGTCTCCTGCCCATAACAGGGCCATGAAGTCATGGGGCCAGGTACTGATTTAAAAAAAAAACAACACCTTGAGTTGTGTTGTTTGTTAAGAGTTTCTGCACTGAAACCGCTTGGCGCTTCTCTGGTGTCCTTATTATGGGGTTCCAGATAGCTTAGAAGATATTTGGGTGTTAACTTGCTTGGTATGTCTGCCTTTTATGTTATGCTTCAACTCTTCTGCTTGAGCTAATAATAAAGCTTAAAACCTTATTAATCACTGCTTTGCTTATTGCCTCTGGATCCGAAAGAACCAATTGCCCGGGCACCTGAACACGGCCCCGTTCCTTGGCAAAACAGACACCTCCCAGCACACTCTACCATAGACGAGCCCAACCATGGTAACTTTAAGACCTTGATAGTACAGTGGTTTAGTGCACCCTGTTATTAACACAGCTGCCTGCAATTTCTGCTGGTTCGAATCTCTCCAAGGCTCAAGGTTGACTCAGCCTTCCATCCTTTCTAAGGTAGGTGAAATGAGGACCCAGTTTGTGGGGGCAATAAGCTGACTTTGTATAAAATATACAAAAGAATGAAGGCTATTGCTTAACGCATTGTAAGCTGCCCTGAGTCTCCGGAGAAGGGCGGCATATAAATCAAATTAAAAAAAAAAAGACCTGTGAACTTCAACTCCCAGGATTCCTCAGCCAGTATGGCTGGCTGAGGAATTCTGGGAGATGAAATCCACAGGCCTTAAACTTGCCGAGGTTCGACACCCCTGTTCTACAATCTAAGGCAGGGGTGTCAAACTCGATTTCATTGAGGGCCGCATCGGGGCTGTGTTTGACTTCGGGGGGCTGGGGTGGGCGTGGCTGGGGTGGGCGTGGCCATCTTAACGTTACTTGTGTTGGGGGTTCCTGTGGTGGTCCGACTGCTCTGCCAGCAAAAACGGGCTCCCGAGCTCCGTTTTCAGCTGCGATGGCCTCCTGCAACCCTCTGCCAGTGAAAACAGAGCTCGGGAGGGCCGCCCACAGCACTCCCGAGCTCCGTTTTTACTGGCAGAGGCACCGTGGACCGGTCCTTCACTGTTTTCAGCTCACCCCACGGGCCAGATCTAAGCACCCCCACAGGCCGGGTCCAGACCCCCGGCCCTTGAGTTTGACACCCCTGATCTAAGGAAATCACTTCAATGCAGAGTTGTTCCCAGCTATTTTTGTATTTCTTCTGCACAACAGTAATTATGCAATCCTAACCAGTCTGTTAATAAACAACGAAGGAGCTGTTGAAGCACCAGAGGGGGAAAGAGATTTTAAAGTAACGACGAAATGAGCAGAATCCTAATTGTACTTTCTCTGGCTTTTCATGCCCAGCAGGGAGGGGGGAAAAACACACATTAAGATGATGGATCTCTTTGTTTACAGCTGCAACATATCCCTTGGCGTTTGCTATGATCCCCTGCAGTTCTGAAGACAGCTCCATACATTGATTCCAAGATTCAAAACATGCTATTCTTCCTTTACAAATCATGCAAACCAGAACTACCATAGCTACTGTACAAATTAATCCACGGACAGTCCTGCTAAGCAATTATTTTCAACCACGGGGTACAGCTGCAAACCCAGAACCGCTGTCATACAACCGAAACTGAACACTTTACAATGTGGAAAGTCTGCAAACGCATGCGCAAATCCCATATCGGGACTGGGAAGTTGGCAGCAATTGTCCAGACTTTTGGGAAAGCTGTAGAAGAAGAGGCAGAGACTAGGGATGGAGTCAAGAGAGGAATCACCCTGGAATTGTTCCAGTGGTGGGATTCAGCCGGTTTGGGCCGGTTCGGGAGAACCGGTTGTTAAATTGCTGGCTGCCCCCCCCCCACTTCCAGGAGTCCCCACGCGCCCCATTTTTGCTCCCAGGGGGGTGCTGTTGTGGTCCACCAGCAGCCCACAGTGATAGCAGCAGAGTCGGACAGTGAGGAGGCTGGAGAGGACAATGGGCCAGTCCTGGAGTCTGGGGAAGGCCCAGATGAGGGCTCTGCGTCGGAGGCAGAGATGGGACCAGGGCCATCTGCAAATGCATATTTATGCATTTTATGTTTTATTGGGTTTATTTGTTGTGAGCCGCCCTGAGTCCTACGGAGATAGGGCGGCATATAAATTATATTAAATAAATTAAATAAATAAATCTGGGAGTGATGCGCGGACACCGGAGCCAGAAGCGGACAGCAGAGAGGCAGAGGAACAGGAGGAGCCTGTTCCTAGTGCACGCATGCAAAGAGCTGCCAGAGGGCAAGAGCAGCTAAAGCAAAAAGGACGACTCAGAAGTAAGGCCAGGAGATGATTGGCCCCTCCCATAAGGCTTAAAAGAGCAGCAACAGCTCTTGGGCTCTTTGTAGGAAAGCAACATTGCTGCATTTGTTTCTTGTTGGCATTCCTTGTTTCTGAACTTCATATGGCTTTGCCAAAGCAGATAAAGGTTTGTGATAAGGCCAAAGGACTTTTTCTGAAGGACTTGTTTTGGAATTAATTTGGACTAAGCTGGGAATGAAGTAATTCCCAGCTGTTATAATAAAATAGGTTTGTTTAAGACTAAGTGTGTCTTTTATGCCTAAGTGAGTCTAAGTCACAACAGATGCAGGAGGCCTAGTGCTGCCTGTCACACCCCCTGGCCATGCCCACTATGGCCACGCCCACCCAGCCGGTCATTAGGGCAGAGAACCGGTTGTTAAATCATAGTCACATGATTTACATACAGATGCTTGACAGCTGACTCACATTTATGACGGTTGCAGCATCCCAGGGTCACGGGATCCCCCTTTGCAACCTCAAAGTCAATGAGGAAGCCAGATTCACTTAACAGCGGTGTTACTAACTTAACAACCGCAGCGATTCACTTAACAAATGTGGCAGGAAAAGCCGTCAAATGGGCCAAAACTCATTTAACAAACTTTTCACCCAGCAACGTAAATTTTGGGCTCAATTGAGGTCGTAAATTGAAGACTAGCTATGTTTTCTGCTTTTATTGGATACTGTCCAGAGTCACATGCATGAGATGGATGGCTATATAAAGGATTAGACAGACAGACAGACAGACATTATAAAATTCTGGGTCAGTACGATTTTCATTCATCTTGATTTGGAAACCTGGTTTTCTTTTGTAAATGACAATAGTATTTTTTGGGGGGGGTCTGTTTTTCCCAGGTACAACTCGTCCAAAATCAGGGGACTTTTAACTTAGCAAAAATCAGCAAAGACAGAAAACAGCCCAGGATTCCCCCTAAATTCGGTGATCATCCTATGTGGTTGCAAAAACGTTTTCTGCACAAATGCCAAGGCAAAATTTCTACGCACTCTGTGATTCCTCTCCTGTTGGGTATATTTCTCTGTTCTTAAAAATCATAGCAGTGATGTTTTGAAGTTCCTCTTTAATGGTTTCATTTTAGTCCTTTTAATATATTAAAAATATGTCTCTTTTTTTTGAAATTCCTAGCTAAGGGCTTATTATTTCAGAATTCCATGAAGGATGAGGAAGAGATAAGCAAACTAAAAATAGATTTACCTTCAAGATGGGTGCCATGAACACCGAAATGCCTGTCAGAAGGAAGACGATACATCCAGTCACTCTCTGCTCCCTGAAATCAAACCCAGGAATAGCATAACCAATTCTTATTTGAAGGACATTTTATTAAACAAATTGTTGTAAGCCGAGGACTACCTGTATACCTCACACGAGCTTACAATATCGCCAACGTTTCAGGAAGAAAAGAAGGGGTTTTTTTGCCACTGTCACCTGCTACCAATTTATTTTAAAGAAAGACTTTGTCAAGTACAAGCTGCCAGAACCAATAAAGCAGAAGCTTTATTGCTGGTCACCTATGTTACAAGAATCTCACCAGATTGACTGCATTCTCTTAGGAATGGTTCGTGGACTTGGGGGAGGTCAGGCCTGTGTCGTTTTCTCCAGTGCAAAGACTCTAAGCTTGGTCCCTTCTTAACGCCTCCCTCCAGACGAGCTAGAGATTCTGCAGTTTATGGCATGCTAAGTCAATAATCTACACTATCAAGGAACCACCAAGAATACTCCCACCGATACTGACAGGGCAAGCCGCTAGTGTATGAAAATAAAAGCAAACCCCATTCTCTTCTAGCACTGATGATGTTACCTAGTTTGGTAATGAAACGTCTTGCAAGGAAAAAACCCAGCTCAGAGAGCATCAAGGATTCTGTTGTAACTCCGACCCCCGAGCCCGTCTTATCGGAGGGAGAAGACTCCAAAAGTGAAGGAGAGGAGTTGGCAAGGCCTCCCTCTCCAGGACCCTCCTCTCTGGCAATGCCTCAGGTGTCTTCCGAAGGCCAAGAGATAGGCCAGGAGCCAGGCACTTCCGAGCAGCCGCAGTTAGACAGTGACGGAGATAAGTCTTGGCTGGATCCCCGACAGCGTCGGAAAGACAAGTGCACGCAGCAGAGAAGGAGGCGTGCCAGAGATTAAGCTGAGTCACTGGACCACACCTCACAGGGGATAAAAGGGGGTGTGGTGGCCATTCAGGCTTTGTGATGGACAAAACTGAAAAGCTAGCAAGTCATACTGCGTTTCTGGAACTTCGTTATATGCCTTCCTTGGATTTATTATGGACTGGACTTGATAATTCTTTGGCTTTGTGAACTTATTTTGGTTTATCCGACGGAGGAGGAAAACCTCCCTTTGTTAGTAAAGTTTTTGGCAAGCAGCTAACTGGGTTGCTGCCAATGCTGTTATCTCAAAGAAATTCCTGACTGCTGGTTTTATTAACTCCTGGCTGACTGTTTGTGTGCGTGTGTGAGACGGGGACAGAACAGATTCCATAGTCCTCCTCCTCCTCCTCCTCCTCTTCCTCTCCACAAACACCACTCCCTTCTAACACTGATGATGTTACCTAGTTTGGTAATGGAACATCTTGCAAGAAAACCGCCCAGTTCAGAGAGCACCAAGGACCCCACAGTCCTTCTCCTCATCCTCCTTCTCCTCTCCACAAACATTACTTCCTTCTAACACTGATGATATAACCTAGTTTGGTAATAAAACGTCTCACAAGAAAAAATCCCAACTCAGAGAGCACCAAGGACCCCCCAGTCCTCCGCCTCATCCTCCTTCTCCTCCTCTCCACAAACATTACTTCCTTCTAACACTGATGATGTTACCTAGTTTGGTAATAAAATGTCTCGCAAGGAAAAAACCCAGCTCAGAGAGCACCAAAGACCCCCCCGCAATGTACTCTATGTTATCTATGTCTACAACTCATAGCTCTAAGCTATGTTTGATCCCACAGTTCAGAGAAAAATGTAGCTGGTAGTTTCTGGCCTGAGAAGAATGCTATGCCAGGCAGCTTCCTAGAATACTTAGTATTCAATCTCTTTTCCCATCAGATCAGCGTACCTAACTCCCAAAAACTTGGGTTGCTCGCCAGGTGCCGAGGTCTCCGTCTCCATCTTCAAACTGTCAATGTGAGCGATGGAGATCACGGTAGCAGCAACATACCAGGGCAGACCCATGAAGGAACAGATGATCATCAACACAGCCACCCAGAATAGATCCAGGTGATATCCAGCACCTTTCTGCAAAGGTAAGAAGGGAAAAAGGAAGGAAGAGGAAGGTTAATTTTAAGTGGGAAGTCTTTGCGGCGAGGATGGCAACCCTGGAGCTGAGATGCTGGCTTTGAACAATATTCTAAATTAGGATAAATATGATTAGGTACTGTGAGGTTCAGCATGTCGCGAGATCCCAGATCAGAGGTGGTATTCAGCCGGTTTGGGCCGGTTTGGGCGAATTGGTAGCGGCAAATACTACCTCTGGCTGGCCCCACTCTCCTATCCCCGCCGTTCCCTGTCTTATAGTCCCTTATTTTTTTAGCTCAGCTGATTCACATGGCAGAGTGGACTGCTGCGCTTCAGCTGAGCTCAGCGCTCAGCGCTAAACAACAGCTCAGCTCACCAGCGCTGACACCGAGGGCGGTCTTTATGTGCTGCGCATGTGAAGCGCACTCTCATAGAACCAGTAGGAAAAAAGCCTTGGTGGCACAGCAGACTAAAGTGCTGTTAAGTAGCACCAGCTGCCTGCAATTACTGCAAGTTCGAATCTCATCAGGCTCAAGGTTGACTCAGCCTTCCATCCTTTCGAGGTAGGTAAAATGAGGACCCAGATTGTGGGGGCAATAAGTTGACTTTGTATAAAAAAGAATACTGCGGGGGGGAGGGGAGGGGAAAGCCCTACTAAGCAGGTATATACAAAAAAAAAGTATGAAGGCTATTGCTTAACACATTGTAAGCCGCCCTGAGTCTCCGGAGAAGGGCGGCATATAAATCGAACCAATCAATCAATCAATCAATCAATCAATAAATTTGGAGTCCCACCACTGTCCCAAATGTTACCTGAACTTGTTGTGTGTCGTGTAAAAGGTAAAAGTAAAGGTTCTCCTCGCACATATGTGCTAGTCGTTCCTGACTCTAGGGGGCGGTGCTCATCTCCGTTTCAAAGCCGAAGAGCCAGCGCTGTCCGAAGACGTCTCCGTGGTCATGTGGCCGGCATGACTCAACACAAAGGCGCACGGAACGCTGTTACCTTCCCACCAAAGGTGGTCCCTATTTTTCTACTTGCATTTTTTACGTGCTTTCCAACTGCTAGGTTGGCAGAAGCTGAGACAAGTAACGGGAGCTTACCACGTTACGCGGCACTAGGGATTCGAACCGCTGAACTGCCAACCTTTTGATCGACAAGCTCAGCGTCTTAGCCACTGAGCCACCATGTCCCTTGTGTGTCATGTAAACCACCACAATATGCTACAGCTTGGTTTTCCTGGGGACACAGTCTGTGATGTGAACAGAACAGACAGTGTTAAAAACTGTAGGCTTTAGCTTTTAAAGAAGCCTTTCTTTAATTAAGCGTCTTCTTTCTTGGGGAACAAAACCTATCCTTTAAGCTTTTCAGAGACTTTGAATTTAAATGGGAAAATATCTGGAGAGACCCTCCACTGGTTAACATCTTCAGGTGGTCCTCGACTCAGGAGCCAATGGGGACCAGCATTTCTGTTGCTAAGCAAAGCAGTTGTTAAGAGAATCGTGCCAGATTTTGCAACTTTTTGCCACGGTTGCTAAGCGAATCACTGCAGTTGTTAAATGAACCGCAATGTCGCTTCCCCCGCTGACTTTGCTTCTCAGGAGTTTGCCACGCATCCAAATTTTGATCACGTGACCATGGGGACGGCGCCATGGTTATAATTAGAAGGATTAATCCACACATTATCTTTTCTTCAGTGCCATTATAATTGTGAACTTTCACTAATCAATTGGTTGCAAATCAGGACAACACAAAAAATCTCTCTCTCTCTCTCACACACACACACCAAGAACAGTTCTATCTAAATGCCTTTACAGAAGCTTTTTTAAAATTCAGTTAAGAGAAGAACATATTAACAGAGTAACACGACAGAATAACAAGAGTTGAATCCAGCTTGCCCCATTGGACTTTGTTTGTTGGAAGCCTACTGGAAGCTCACCAAAGGTAATCACATGGTCCCAAAAGGTCTATGGAGTGAGAACATAGAAGAACAGAGTTGGAGGGGGCCTTGGAGGTCTTCTAGTCCAACCCCCTGCCTAGGCAGGAGACCCTACACCACTTCAGACAAATGGTTATCCAACATCTTCTTAAAAACCTCCAGTGTTGGAGCATTCACAACTTCTGGAGGCAAATCATTCCATTGTTTAATTGTTCTAACTGTCAGAAAATTTCTCCTTAATTCTAAGTTTGTTCTCTCCTTGACTATGAACATAAACTTAGATACAGAGTGGCTTCTAGCTGTAATGTAAGAAAATGGATAGAAGTCATGGCTTTATTTATTTTATTTAGAGAAGGGCATCAACAGAGGTCATGCAAACACTGATAAATACATTTAAATAAAGCGTCAGCAAATCAGCGTTTCTGTTGACTGATGGAGTAGAGTAGAGTAGAGTAGAGTAGAGTAGAGTAGAGTAGAGTAGAGTAGAGTAGAATAGAATAGAATAGAATAGAATAGAATAGAATAGAATAGAATAGAATAGAATAGAATAGAATTAGTTTCCATCCATTGCTTCTTGTCCATTTACTGCCAGCTTATCAAGTACTTAGGAAGTGAGGGCTTGGCAGCACAAGGAAACAACAGCCAACGACTTAATAGTTGGTCATCAACATCCATAATCAACCACTAGAAAGCCACACACAACCAGGCACCATATAAATACTGTTAGGATATGGTTTGAGCCTAACAGTTGTACAGGCAATATAAGTATACTATAACTTTAATCTGAAACTGTATTATGTGGCTTTAATGCTGAGTCATGCTGTAATCACATAATTACTGGTTGTGAGAATATTTAAGCAAAGCTTCTGTAACGTGTTCAGTTGCTGCTATAGTCTGCTGTTGATGAGGAAGCTGCTATGTTATGCTGCCGTTGTGTATGAAGATAATGAGATGATGAAGCTGTGATGATAAGCTACCATTGAGAGGAGTTGTTATCTGTAATCATTGTTTGATGGATCTGCAACCATCGTGGTTTGTGAACCAGAGTGAGTTTGTTATTCTAACCAACTACTGTTTGTTGGGTAAGAAGATTCTGTAACTACTGGACTGATTTACTGGCAAAGACTTGGAATTTGTTTAAAGACTATGAGACTGTTTTTCTACTATAAAGTAAGCTTTTGATAAACCAGTTTGCTTATCTCTTATTCATTGCTCTCAGCAACGTTTCTCTGTGCAATCCACTCTGCTAGTTGGTAACACAACAACAATAACCTTAACAAATACCCCACACAGAATAGCCCAAAGTACAAACACTGCTAGAGAAAACTTCCCTGAGGATGGGCTCTGGCATGAATCCAAAAACTCGGAAGACTAAACTTCTGGTCCCAATCAGTGGTGGGTTGCCCCCGGTTCAGACCGGTTCGCAAGAACCGGTAGTAAAACCAGTGGGAGGCTCCGCCCACTGACCCAGACGTCATCGTAAGTGATCTGCGCATGCGGGCACGATGGGAACCGGTAGTAAAGGTAAGTAGAACCTACCCCAATGAACCACCCAGACTGGATCCTGTAGTATAAAGAGAGTTACACAGATGGTTCTAATCTCAACTTTGCTCCCACAGCAAATATGCTGAGAGATACTAAGGGAGAAAAGTTTACGACAAGAACAACCAAATAAACAACTTTTTTAAAAAAAAAAAAAATCCAAAGTGCCCTTCTGCATCTGAAGTGTGAAAATAAGATACTGTGAGTCAGGACATTTAAAGTGTTAAGTTTCTCTTCAGCCAATCAGGATGTCGAGGTAAATTAAATGAAATTCAGAATTCACCTGCAAATGACGGGAGTTATTCTCCGAGATAAATATAGCTTTTGGAAGTAATGTGGCCCAGAGCAGACACTCTGCAAACCTTGAAAAGAAGTTAATTAGCACCAAGATTTGCATCCTGTCTTTGTCCCCTTTCCCCCCCCCCCCCATCTTGTAAGTAAATTAAATGTCATCTTGTTCTCACATTCTGTGCGGTATCTCTGCCTTGCATGCAGCTTAAAAGAAAAATAACACCTTTCTTGCCAGTATTTCAAGTAAGGGACGAAGAATAAAAATTCAACCTAGTGAAGATCACAGTACAAAAAAGAATGGATCGAAGAACTTTGGAAACACGCAGAACTTGGAGAAGTACAAAAAAAGAAAGAAATGGATTGTTAGGGGAAATGCTATTGAACCTCAGGCATTTTGTATTTTGAGTGTATTAACAGCTGCGCGGAGACCATTAAGATGATTGAAAGCAGATTCAAGGGAGAACATTGCTTTCCACTGAAAATACATACTTATTTTACCCATCTGTCGTCTTTATACAAAAATCTTAAAACATAATAAAATTATTTTTAAAATTAGCGCAACTTTTCTGAATCCTGGTCTGATTTCGGCTTGTGTGATTGGCTGGCTGTAGTTGCTGAGTCATTAACAGATTATGAGAGTTGGAAGGGACCTTGTAGGCCATCTAGTCCAACCCCCCGCCCAAGCAGGAGACCCTACACCATTTCTGACAGAGGGTAGTCCAGTCTCTTCTTGAAAGCCTCCACCACTTCTGTTCCATTGGCTGATTGTTCTCACTGTCAGAAAATTTCTCCTTATTTCTAGGTTGAATCTCTCCTTGATCCGTTTCCATCCGTTGTTCCTTGTCTGGCTTACGGGGTGCTATCTTCAACTTCATAGTCCTTGGGTTTTAAGTACCATCTGTGTGATGTAAATTAATGCTTGGTGTTGTCGTTAGGATGTCTTCCGATGATGCCATGGCCTGGTTTCGGGTTGATTTGATCGGCTGTGTGTGTGATGTGGCCCAATTTCTTGTGATCTTGTTTGCAACGTAGCTATTCGTTGGTCTTTAAATGCTGCCTTTGGGATCGTGGTTGATGTTCTTTCATTCTAAGTGGTTGGTAGATTGGGTTGGTGTCACTGTGTCTGTTTATTGATGTATTGGTGGAAATTTCAGGAATTCCCTTTCTCTCCTTGATTTCGCCTGGGTTACAGCTGTGGAGTTTCAAGATAATCCTATTCCACTGCTGGAATGGCCTGGGAATAGCCAAGACCTTAACCCAATTGAAAATCTATGGAGCTGAGTAAAGAAACTTGTTAGTTAGAAACGACCCAGCAATAAAACCCAGTTAATAGAAGCAACCATTCAATCTTGGTTTCACATTATAACAGCTGCAGAACTAAAAGACTTGGTTCACTCCATGGGAAGACGTTGTAAGGCCATAACTCATGCTAAAGGTTACCCAACTAAGTATTAACTCACATGGTGATAATTTTTGTATATCTCATTTTTTTCTATGTGTTTCACTTTTCTTCTTTATACTGTAACTGCTATTCTAACAGCAAATCCTTCATAAAAGTTATTGCATTACATTCTTGATTGAATTATCTTTCCATTGATATATAATGTTATGGTACTACTCCCAAAAAAAAAAAGTGGTGTTATTAGCTAGTTTTAGAAAATACACTTTTCGCAAAAAGTTTCCACAATTTTGGCCACTACTCTAAATTGATACTAACACTTCAAGTGATCTTGATTCTATCACCCTCTGTAAAGCAGCCTAGGATTGCGTTAGCTTTTTGGGCAGCTGCAGAAGAAGTATTTCAACCGCTGCTCCATTTATTATTTTTGGAATATCTATCCAATTATAAGACCAAGCACCTGGAGATGGAAATACAGAGTCCCAGATACCTCCTGAGAGAGAACTGGGTCTTGATGTACCAAGTAATCAGAATTTTTTTGTTACTGTTGTTGATCAGGTCCTGAGGTTTTCCTATTTTTGCAGTTGAGTGAGTATCATATAATATGGGTAGTCCTTGACTTGCAACAATTGAGCCCAAAATTTCCACTGCTAAGCACGACAGTTATTAACGGAGTTTTGCCCCATGTTATGACCAATTTTTTTTTGCCACGGTGGTTAAATGAATCCGTTGTTAAGTTAATAACACAGTTGTTAGCGTGAATCTGGTTCCCCCATTGAGTTCGGTTGTCAGAAGGTCACGAAAGGTGATCACATGACCCCAGGACAGTACAACAGTCATAAGTACATGCCAGTTGCCAAGTGTCCGAATCTTGATCATGTGCCCATAAAGATGCTGCAATGGTTGTAAGTGTGAAAACCAATCGTAAGTCACTTTGTTCAGTGCAATTCCAACTTTGAATGTTCACTAAATGAACTGTTGTAAATTGAGAACTACCCCAGTTGCTTTTCAAAAGAGCTGTTTCCTGAATCTTGCATTCCACAGAACAGTGGAACAAACTAAATTTAGTTTCCTAAGTGTGAATTGTAAATCATTGCTTGGCAAATGTTTGTGGAGATTCTCAGTCATCCAGGTCATGGTTGTCCCAAAAGTGCTTTTCAGGAGGCAACTAACTGGACTTCCTTGTTTTTTTCTCTGAAGACGTTTTGCTTCCTATCCAAGAAGCTTCTTCAGCTCTGACTGGATGGTGGGGAATGGAAGGATCCATCGTTCCTTGTCTGGTTTACGGGGTGCTATCTTCTCTTCAACTTCAGATGGGTAAACCAGCTGGGTAAAAATGGAAGGTAAACTTAGCTATCCTGAACCTGGGCTGCAGTAATTCAGATCCAGCATGATCTTTGGTGCTTCTGAATGTGCCTTCCGCCATCTGACCTTCTCTGTTTTATTTTTCCCCGTGGGGATTCTGATCACACCTCCAGCCACCTGCAAAGATTCTGAATTCCCGGCCTACAAAAACCGATCTGATTTATCCAAGCACTGTGGTTGGTAGAGTTCCACATTTGGAGAAAAAAAAATGCTAAATCAGACACCGAGGTGAAATAAACGAGGGATCAATTGATAAATGTTGATTTCGCAATGATAAAACAGCTGGTGGAATTCAAAGATATTTCCCTCTAGGGTGAACAGTTGGTCCATCTGTGTTTCCTGATTCAAAGCCAAGACAAAGCTCATTAATATTTCTTCAGAAAGCATTTCTCACTCTTTTACTTAGGGGCAAATGCTTAGGTGACTGTGGAGGAGCTATGTTGATTTAATCCCAGCGACACAAAACGCAAGGAAGGAGGAGGCGGGTGTCGGGCCTTGAAATGAAGATCAAAAAAGATGCCTCTGGAGAAGGGGAGATGCCTTCTCCAAATTATTTGGGAGAATTATATTCTCCAAAGCACCCGAAGGCAGGATAGGAAGTAAGCGATGGAAACTAATTTCCATCTAGATGTCTTGAAGTCTTCTAGAATTGTGGATTAAAACCTCATCATCTTAATCTTTCATAATTGTTAAGGTCTTCTGGGAATCGTTTTCTAAAACGGAGGCCTCCAACCTTGGCAACTTAAAGACTTGTGGACTTCAACTTCCAGAGTTCCTCAGCCAACTTTGCTTCGCTATACCATTTCAGACAAATGGTTGTCCAGTTTCTGTCCTGTGATGAAGCCCCTACAACTTCTAGAGGCAAGCTGTTCCACTGGCTAATTGTCCTCACTGTTAGGAAGTTTCTCCTTAATTCCAGGTTGCTTCCCTCCTTGATTAGTTTCCATCCATTGTTTCTTGTCCTGCCCTCTGGTGCTTTGGAGAATAAATCGACCCTCCTCCTCTTTGTGGCATCCCCTCAAATATTGCAATACTGCTATCATGTCATCCGTAGTCCTTTTTTCCCCCTCTAGACTGGCCATACCCAATTCTTGTAACCGTTCTTCATATGTCTGTCTGTCTGCCAGGCCCTTAATCATCTTAGTTGCTCTTCTTTGCACTTTTTCCAAAGTCTCAACATCTTTTCTGTAACGTGGTGACCAAAACTGGATGCAGTATTCTAGGTGTGGCCTTACTAAGGCTTTATAAAGCGGTACCAGTACTTCATGTGAGTTTGATTCTATACCTCTATTTATACAACCAAGAATTGTATTAGCTTTTTTGGCTGCCGCCGCACACTGCTGGCTCCTATTTAATAATGCATCCCTCAATGCATTATTTTAAGCAATAAACTTCTTCCAAGGAGACCTCATTAGGTCTCAGAACAGTTATTCTGCACCAATCTCCTGCAGAGATCTACCACAATGTGCTCTTAAAACAATTTGGCCCATCCCTGTTCCAATCTTGCATAACAAGGCACCAACCTTCAGCTTGTGCTCTTTACGGTTGACAATAACAGCTGTGATTTGCTGGTCCATGAAGAGGAGGATGGTGACCAGGAGAGCAGGAATAGCTGCGGCCAAGTATACCCACCACGGGTTTCCTCCGAATGGTGTGATAAACCAGCTTCTATTTGGATTTGTTGGCTTCACAGGGAAAAAGACAGAAAAGGGCAATCAAAAAGACATTTAAAAACATTTCAAGTCAAAGGAAGAGTTTCTGAAGTAAACCCAAGTTCACACACACACACACAAACCGCAAACATTGCAAGGATGGGTCAAAGAACACTTCCTTTGCATTTTCAGATTCTCATATCTGCTACATTATATTATTATTATCTTTATTCATTAAATATGAAACTCAGTCAACTGAACATTCAAAAATGCATCACAAATACCATTGACTGGTGCTAATGGTTGATACGGGTTGCTGCCAGCGTCCTAGGTATCAACCAAGTACCTTCTTAAGATGTACAATATTACGAGTAGTTATTATATATAATTCCAAGTTGTTGTTATTATTATTATTTGCATTTGCACTTCCCATTATTCATACGGATTGTCAGAGATAAAAGCAGAGAAAAAAGCATGCACAAACTACTCAGCAATCCACAATGAAAACAGTGTCTATGGAGATTCTCAGTCATCCAGGTTATGATTGTCCCAAAGATGCTTTTTTCAAGAGGCAACTGGACTTTCTGGATTTTCTTTGAAGACATTTCGCTTCTCATTCAAGAAACGTCTTCCGCTCTGACTGGAATTCCACACCATCCAGTCAGAGCTGAAGAAGCTCCTGGGATGAGAAGCAAAACGTCTTCAAAGAAAAAGAAAGTCCAGTTGCCTCTTGAAAAAAGTACTTTGGGGACACAATGAAAACAACATGGCTAGTTTTGCAAGAACTGGATCTGGGATGGAAATGTCTAACTGTCCACCAGATGGCAGCAAAGAGATGGTGACTTATGGGTCTTTTGGCTGCCCTCTAGTGGTCACAATGTTTATTTTTTCAGGCCAGAGATGGTTGCCTTATGTTTGAACAAGATTCCCAAGATCTACTGGCAAGTAATTATTGCTGCAATATGGAGAATCAAGACATCCTGTAAGAGGTAGCTGGATTGCACAGAAGATTTGCACAAGGTGAAGTTATTAGTTATATGCGCTTTTACCCTAAAACTTAAATCTGCCCCTTAAAGATCTGCAAAAGTGACTGGTTAAATTTACAGAAAGGAAAAGTTACCAAATATATAGAAGCTATCATATTAACCAAATTTAATTTCTAAAATAAAACCTTAAAAAAAACCTTAAAAATTAAAGTTGACTTGCTCTGGGTCTTTATTCTGGCCCCACACATTTGTTGATGATTATCCCATCACCTCTGCTTAAAAGTACAGGTAGTCCTCGATTTACGACCACAATTCAGTCTAATGTTTCTGTTGTTAAGTGAATCACTTGTTAAGTGAGTTTTGCTCCCATTTACGACTGCTCTTGCCACAGTTGTTAAGTGAATCACTGAAATTGTTAAGTTAGTAACATGGTTGTTAAGCGAGTCTGGCTTCCCCATCGACTTTGCTTGTCAGAAGTTCACAAAAAGTTCACAAAAGTTCACTGCAACTGTCATAAATACGAGTCAGTTGCCAAGTGTCTGAATTTTGATCACATGACCATGGGGATGCTGTAAGTGTGAAAAGGTCATGTATCACTTTTTTCATTTCCTTTGTAACTTCAAATGGTCACTAAATGAACGGTTCTAAGTCAAGGACCACCTGTACTGAAAAACTTGCTCTGATGGGTCAATGGGTCCCTAAGGGTAAGTTCCCCATTGGTGCTTTGCACAGTGTAGTTGTCCCAGTGGTCTATAGCAGTAAATAATAGAGACACATATCATGATCCAGATGTACAATGAAGTCATACTTTGATATGATTATGCAATTGATTATAGGCTGCAAACATCCCAGAAACCACAGTGTGGTAGCAAAGAGCTGGTTTTATTGTGTATATCTTTGCTGCCATCTACTGGTCACCTTGATTTTGCAGCCTAGCTTTGATCCTCCTCCTCCATGTATTATAATTCTTTGCCTTCTTAAAAAAATGGAGGAGAGATGGCTTAACATACCTTGAATTCACTTGGCACGAGAAGTTTTGGTGTATCGACACCGACCAGAGCATCGATTCCACAGAAAATCAGAATAGAAATGATGATGGCAAAATCACTGATCAATTTCCTTGCCTGAAATAGAAAGAGAACTACATCAATGGCGGTTTAAACTTGCCTGTTTTAAGAACCTGACAAATATGCACAAAAAGGAAAAACCCAACACTGAAAATAACAAGTAGAGAATCAGCAACTAGAAACCCCCAGGAGCTTCGTCCGTCCAGCTGAAGAACATTCCAGAAGATGCTGGCATCCGTATGGGCAGACAAAAGAGACCAGGCTACAACATTCCCACCTCAAAGTGCCCTTCCCATCAAACTTAATTCATAATCCTGGTTTTCAGGATCTTTTCAGTTGACTGCATCCAACTTGTGAAAAGCTGTGCAAAGGTGAATGAGAATTTGGAAGAAGGGAGCATATGCATAAGAAAACATGCACAGCGAATGGAACAATAGCCCTTGCGTTTTTAAAAAAAACTAATATTACTGAGTGCAATTCAGGGCACAAACAAACATTAGAATAGAATAACAGAGTTGGAAGGGACCTTGGAGGTCTTCTAGTCCAACCCCCTGCTTTGATAGGAAACCCTATACCATTTCAGGCAAATGGTTATCCAATATCTTCTTTAAAACTTCCAGTGTTGGAGCATTTACAACTTCTGGAGGCAAGTAGTTCCACTGATTAATTGCTCTAACTGTCAGGAAATTTCTCTTAGTTCTTAGTTCATTTTTTTAAAATTTTATTTATATGCTGCCCTTCTCCGAAGACTCAGGGTAGCTTACAATGTGTTAAGCAATAGCCTTCATACTTTTGTATATTTATACAAAGTCAGCTTATTTCCCCCATAGTCTGGGTCCTCATTTTACCTACCTTAGAAAGGATGGAAGGCTGAGTCAACCTTGAGCCTGGTGAGATTTGATCTTACTTTAATTGCAGGCAGCTGATGTTAATAGTGCTTTAGTCTGCTGCACTACCAGGGCTCCTAGTACGATTTGATAGCTTATTAGTAACCTTGACTATCATTAATTGTTGTATTTTATGATTCTTGATGAATGTATTTTATTCTCCTTATGTACACTGAGAGCATATACACCATAGACAAATTCCTTGTGTGTCCAATCACACTTGGCCAATAAAGAATTCTATTCTATTCTATTCTATTCTATTCTATTCTATTCTATTCTATATTTCATATTTTCCATTCCATTCCATATTTTCTAGTCTAGTCTAGTCTAGTCTAGTCTAGTCTAGTCTAGCCCATTCCATTCCATTCCATTCTTCCATTCCATTCCATATTTTCTCTTCTCTTCTCTTCTCTTCTCTTCTCTTCTCTTCTCTTCTCTTCTCTTCTCTTCTCTTCTCTTCTCTTCTCTTCTCGAAGTTAAATTCTTGACCTTGATCAAATGGTGCTGGATGTACTGGAGAAATAACTGGGAAAACTATTATAAAATCATAGGACTTACAGTGGTTGGGAAATAACGACTGGTCTTGAATTTCTTCAAAGCCATGGAGCACGTGTAGGTTCCCAAAAAGAGAATGCAAGACATGAGTGTGATGTCAGGGACATATCTGCAATTATTCCCCAGGAGCTGTCCTCCAAAGTGCAAGCATTTCTTCTTGGTCAGGGATGACCATTCAATTGTATCGTTGTGCTGTAAACACAAAAGAGAGAGGGGGGAAAATAATGGCATCTTTAAAGAAACATTCTCGTTTTCTCCCTCAATGCTAGTTTCTGTGCACTTTGGATGGCATGACCTTGGGACACTGCACCCGTCATAAATATGAATCAGCTGCCAAGCGTCTGAATTTTGGGGGACTTCCGGTGGCACCGCAGGCGCCGAGGACGCTCTTTTCTTGAGCGCCAGCCCCGCGATCTCGTAAAGCCGCTAGAACAGCGCAAATCAGCTATATAACTTGGAATGGTCATTAAGTGAATGGTTGAGTGAATGGTTGTAAGTCGAAGATTTACAGTCTTTACTCTTCAGGCGTTATGGAACTGCAGTCCCAACATGCTTGAAAGGTCCCAGGCCTTTGTATAATGCATGTGAATCCCAGCATTTTATGAGTGATTTAATTAATGACCTTGGGACACAGCAACGGTCACAAATAGGAACAGCTGCCAAATATCTGAATTTTGATCACGTGCCTGCCGAGATGCTGCAAAGGTCGTAACTGTGAAACACAGTCATAAGTTACATTTTACAGTGCCGTTGTAACTTTGAACGGTCACTAAGCAAACTGTAAGCGGGGGTGGGCTTCAAAAATTTTAGCAAGGGGTTCTCTGCCCAGTTACTGGGTGAGCGTGGCCATGGTGGGCATGGCCTAGTCGGCCTCCTGCACCATTTGCCCTCCCCGGGCTCTGTAGGCTTTTCTTGAGCCTCCGGGAGGGCAAAAACAGCCTTCCCAGGCTCCAGAGGCCCTCTGGAGGCCGGAAACGGGCCCATTTCCGGCCTTCCCAAGCTTCCAGTAGGCCTGTTTTTAGCCCTTCCCGAGCCTCCAGCGTGCCCTGCACTTACCTGCATCCAAAACAGGCCGCGTGGGGACTCCTGGGAGGGGAGGGATGGGTGGGGCCAGGCAGGAGTGGGATTTGGGGGTTCTCCAAACTGCACAGAATCTTAGCTAGAGGTTCTCCTGAACCCCTGCAAACCTCCAGCAGCCCACTCCTGGTTGTAAATCGAGGACTAACTACCTGTACATAAGTCAACCTTCTGAATGCATAGATATTCCTCCCCTGAGCTCAACTGGGAAGAATTTTTATTAGCCTAAAAGTGATAAAAGCATTCGCAAGCTCTTTGCATCAGGTCGCAATTTTCACAGGTTATCTTTTCAACAACGTAACTCTACAGCCCAGAGGGAGCAAAAGGACTTGCACTCTTCCCTTGACAAAGCTCTCGTTTTTTCCACTCAGAAGCGATAAGAGCACCCGTGTGCTGTTGCACTTCTGATTTTATTAAAAAACGCATGGGTGTATATTTTATATCGACCTTTCATTAAATTTCTGAGCCATTTGATTTAGCTGCGGCTAGCCAGGTCGCAAATATGAGTCAGTTGTCATGCATCTGAATGTCAATCACGCGACCATGGGGATGCTGCAACGGTCATAAGTGTGAAAAACCGGTCGTAAGACACTTTTTTCAGTGCTGTTGTAACTCCGAACTTAGGTCACTAAGTGAACTGTTGTTAAGTCGAGGACTCTGTACTGTGATTTGGTTTAAATCCTGTTAAACAGATGTTAATGCAACTCCAAGAGATTAAAGCAAAATAAGAGAAGGAAGGAGAATGTATTAAAAATCAGAGGAATGTAGGGATAGAGAATTAGAAACAGAGTGAAGGAAAGGGGAGAAAAATAAATAAAATAAAATTAAGAAATATTAGATAGGAATAAATTGGATTTGAATAGGTACGAAGGGAGTATGTATGTAACTGAAGTGTGATTGAATGTACAAAAACTATATATGGAATATGCATGATATTATATTGTAATATACACAGTGGTGGGATTCAGCCAGTTTGCACCACTTCAGGAGAACCGGTTGTTAACTTTCTGAGCAGTTTGGCAAACTGGTTGTTGAAAGAAATAAATAGGGCAGAGAACCGGTTGTTAAATTACTTGAATCCCACCCCTGAATATACACGAAAGAAAAAGTGATAGAAAAGTATGTACCAGACAAGTCGCACCAAGTCTAATGTTTTTAAATTGTATATTAAATAAAAATAATTTAAAAAAAAAGTCAGCAGTATAATTGCATTGGGCATAATTATTTCAAATATTACAACCCGATTTCTGCTTACCAATTCATCGAGCCAAGACAGAGTTGACGCAACCGTCTCATTGATCAACGAACTATTCACTGTAAGAAGAAAGAAATGCAGCACTTTTGAATATACCACTGTAAAAAATAATGAGGGGAAGCTGCAATTAAAATGAATCTCGCAACCCCTCCCACCTCCCGAAAATTAAAATACAGCTACGTCTTATAATCCTCTTATGCTAATCAGTAATCAGTAGCATCCATAATGATCCTGCATTATATACAGTAAAAAAAGAAGTTATTATCCCATCACTTGTGCTTCTTGCCGTTCGCCGTGGGAAAAATAAAGAAAAAAATACAAGACTAATCGCCTCAAATTATCTTGATGCCTGAATGACAAAGGGGGTTACAATACTTCCCAGTGTAAATTCGTCATTAGAATTCCTACATCATCCAAGAGATGAAAGTGCTTTTTTCTATCTAAACTGAAAAGCTGAACTATTAAATGTTATGCCATATTATCCTTTTTTCCTTATACATGAATAATAGTGTGAACAAACGTCTCGGCTTCCAATTAAGAAAATGGGGCAGCATTTCTTTTTTCTGGGTTCAAAAGGAGAGGCTCTGCCCCACAAAGAGTTTCAGAAAAGAGCAAACCATAACTGCAGGGTGTATGATAAAGAGAGAGAAAAAAAAACATTTATTCAAATTTTTTCCACTATTTATCCCAAGTGTTGGAAAACCTATTGCTGTTTAACAACCCTTCCATCAGGTGAGATTATGCTAAGAAGTAAGGGAAAAAAATAGGATGGAATGGGGCATGCAGGGCAGGGCAGGAGGAAGGGGAAAAGGAGAAAGCGGAAAGGGAGAGAAGAAAGAAAGAGAGAGAGAGAGAGAGAGAGAGAGAGAGAGAAAGAAAGAAAGAAAGAAAGAAAGAAAGAAAGAAAGAAAGAAAGAAAGAAAGAAAGAAAGAAAGAAAGAGGGCGGGCAGGCAGGCAGGCAAGCAGGAAGGAAAAAGAGAGGAAGAAAAGAAGGAAGGAAGGAAGAAGGGAAGGAAGGAAAGAGGAAGGGGAGGAAGGATGAAGGGAGGGAAGGAAGGAAGGGAAAAAGGGAGGGAGGGAAGGAAGGAACGAACGAACGAAGGAACGAATGAGGAAGGGGAAGAAGGAGGAAGGGGAGGAAGGAGGAAGGAAGGAAGGGAAGAGGCAGGGAAGGAAGGAGGAAGGGAAGGAGGGAAGGAAGGAGAAAGGGAGGGAAGGAAGGAGGAAAGGAAGGAAGGGAAGGCAGGGAGGGAGGGAGTTAGGAAGGAAGGAAGGAGGGAAGGAGGGAGGGAGGAAGGAAGGAGGAAGGGAAGGGAAGGGAAGGAAGGAAGGAAAGAAAGAAAGAAGGGAGGAAGGAAGGAATATTTCAGTTTAGGGCCTTTGAGGAAAGCAGGGGGAAGATATTTAAAGGCCTGGGGGATTTTTATTTCCACCCTGTCTTGCTCACTTTCGCACCATGCAACGCTTTCAGGTTTTTGCTTCTAAAACAGAGGGAAAAGTGGAACACTTGGACAGCCCAAATATACCCACACTTTCTACAGAAAGGAGCTAAATTAGCCTGTTGATCTGGAAGTCCTTCCCAGTTTCCACATGAAGTCAAAGAAGAAAGAAGGAACGAAAGAAAGAAAGAATCTCTTCCTTGCACCAGGCATGACTGCACCCTGTCCAATCATGTCCGACTTTAGGGCGTGATGCTCATCTCCGTTTCTTGGCCGAGGGAGTCGGCATTGTCTAAAGATGTTTAATGTGGTCATGTGGCCAGCATGACTATATACCAAAGGCGGACGGAATGCTGTTACCTTCCCACCGAAGTGATGCCTGTTTATCTACTCGCATTTGCACGCTTTCTAACTGGTAGGTGGGGCAGGAGCTAGAGCAAGGAACGGGAGCTCACCCTTTCATGTGGACCTCAGGTCTCGAACAGGGGCTGTCAGCTTTTCAGCTGACAAGCCCAGCATCTTTAACCACTGAGCCACCGTCTCCTTCCCCCCACTCCTTTTTGCACCAGAGCCATGTGCTAAAACCTTCCACCAGTTTCCCAACGTAACCGAATCATGAAACCATGAAATTCAAGTCAAATCCACGATAAACATCGTGGTTTTAATGGCAGTGCAGTGGAGAGGAAGCTAAACTTTCCTTAACGCTGTTAAGGAACAGAAACAAACATTGTTTGTTTGTTTGTTTCTTCTATACTGTCTTTTAACCAGGAACTTTTAAAAGTGGTGCCCATCCCTAGGGCATTTATCGTCAACGATAAATTCACAGGGAAGAAACTGAAGAAGGAGGCTGTAAATCTTTTCTTTAGAGGCAGCTAGACTGCTTCCCTCTTTCCAGCCACCTGCCCACCCTCACGATGTTAATCAATACGGACTGATGAACAGCAGGAGACACAATAATCCAATCACAACATCTGGCAACTCCACGGTGTTTCTTTCCAGGGGAAGAATTTCAGGCTCGGTTGGCAACAGCTGTCAAAAGAGCAGTGAGGCTGCTCCTTGGGATACAGGTGCCAACCACATGTTCATGTTTTTAACTTGAGCAGAGTCCGCAGGATTGTCTGGGACGCTATCCATCCTGTCCACGTGTTTTCCTTGTTACCTTCTGGGAGGGGGGCTTTGGGGTACCCGAAGCAGAACATCTACATTCAGTCACAGTTTTGTTCCATATAGCATCAACCTTGGGAACTCTCAAGTTTCCTCTTTCCACTGCGTATTCAAAATGGACAGTGATTTTGCTTCTGTTTGTGTGTGTACACATATGTGTGTGTCTATGTATGTGTGTGTATTATATATATGTATATACGTACATATATATGCATATTCTTTCTAGCCAGGTTTTACCTATGTAAGCTAAGATGTTCCACAGCCCTAGTTCTGTGAAATCTCATTCACAAGTTTCTGGGCTTTTTGTATCTTGCTAAAAAGCAACAACTCTGTGCTGCAACTCTGCAACACAGAGTTGTTGCTTTTCAGCAAGATACAAAAAGCCCAGAAACTTGTGAATGAGATTTCACAGAACTAGGGCTGTGGAACATCTTAGCTTACATAGGTAAAATCTGTCTTTGGTTATTCGGGTCTTCTCCCACGTAAAATTGGAAGTGTCTTGGCGAGGTTTCGACGAAGTCTCATTCGTCATCTTCAGGCTGGTGTTCTCGGCTTCGTGCTTCCAGGAGCAAGGCTTCCAGGCTTCCTTGCTCCTGGAAGCACGAAGCCAAGAACACCAGCCTGAAGATGACGAATGAGACTTCGTCGAAACATCGCCAAGACACTTCAATTTTACGTGGGAGAAGACCCGAATAACCAAAGACCTATATATATATATATATATATATATATATATATATATATATATACACACACACACACACACACACACACACACACACACACACACATATATATATATATATATATATATACACATACATACATACATATATATACACACACACACACACACACACATACATACATATATGCAGTATATCGCACAAGTGACTATAGCTCCTCACGTTTTGTAAATATTTAAGTATATCTTTTCATGTGACAACACTGAAGAAATGACCCTTGGCTACCACGTAAAGTAGTGAGTGTACAGCTTGTGTAACAGTCTAAATGTGCTGTCCGCTCAAATATAATGCACACACACAGCCGTCAATGTCTAAACTGCTGGCAACAAAAGTGAGTACTGTATACTCACTACTTTACACCGTAGCCAAGTGTTCTGCCCCAGCTACGGACCGCAAAGAACGCAGCACACACAAAGTCTGTACAAACCTTAGTTTACTAAATTAAATCAGTCTTTTTTAAATAAAGGCTGTTAATTAACTTTCTTAACAGCCTACAAGAATCCAAAGAATAAATAAACTTAATCTTACTATGGTTGGCAGAAAGCCCAGAAGCAATTTGCAGAGAACTAAGATCAAGGCACGAAGGAGAGTGAACCAAGTTGTTCCTGCAAATTGCTTCAGTCGGCGTTCCTCCTTAAATAGGCTAAGGGAGTGGCCAATTAGCCCCAAGCCTTACTCTCGAGGAGACCTCCTCCTGAGGAGCCACTCCTGCCTTTTGGCAGCTCTGCACGCTTGTGCATCAAGAAGAGGCTCCTCCTCTTCTTTCTCTTCGCTTATGGGAGCTTCTGGAGGTTCTGAAGGCCCTGGCTGAATCCCTGCCTCTGGCACCACATCTTCTCCAGCCTCCTCACTGTCCGACTTGAGCGCCAGCTGCACAGGCTGCTGGCACAGCACCACAGCAGCCTCCTCGCTGTTGAAATCAGCTACTAGCTGCACAGGCCGCTGACGGGCCACAACACCAAGTGTCATTTTTTCAGTGTTGTCACAAGAAAAGATGTACTTAAATATTTACAAAATGTGAAGGGATGTACTCACTTTTGTGATATACTGTATGTGTGTGTGTGTTTGTGTATATATATATGTATACAGCATCTTTTTTTATAGTGTGGTGACCAAAACTGGATGCAGTACTCTAGGTGTGGTCTTACTAAGGCTTTATAGAGTGGTATTAGGACCTCCCTTGATCTTGATTGTATCCCTCTGTAAATGCAATTGGTGAGTAAAGGTAAGTGGTGAGTAAAGGTAAGTAGAACCCACCCCTGGTCCCCAGGCCTTGAGTTTGACACCCCTGCTCTTCTGGGTGTAAGATTTCACTAGGCGCCACCCCAAAATGATATACTCAATAGTGAGCACTGGTGAGAAGTCCTTCTACGACTTCCATTTCAAGACTGAACGTGCCAATTTCGTATTTAATCATAATTGAAAAGCATCTAGCAAAGGTCAACTCAGGCAAACAGGTAGGGTTCAGAACAGGACATCAGCTCATCTTCCTTTTTGGCAGGAGACCAGATACTCAAGGTTTCTTTTTTGTTTTTTTGTGTTTTGTTTTTTTTTTTTGCCTCTGCCAAAGTCTGACTCACCTCAACTTAACAGCAATTATCAGATCACCTGTGCAACGTTATTTAAATTTTGTTTGTTGTAGTCCTATTTTTTTTTAACCATGAGATTCATTTATTGCTGAGAAGATGCCTTCTATGCCAACTTCACTTGTGGATTTTTAAAAAAATTATCAATATTTTATGCTGGTTGCAATTGGCGCGCTCCGGATTTCTACCTCAACTCCCATAATTTCCCAGCCATCTATCTTTTCTTTCTCAGCAGAGACCTATATTCCTTCAATCACTACCTCTGAATTACAATATATATCTCCATTTTAAATCTTTACAGTGAGACAATAAAGAGCAATTTTCTTACAAAAGGTCTGTAGCTTGTTTTAGAGAGTTTATCCCAGGCCACAGGTATTTGCTTAATGAAGCTCTAACATACCAATAATTGTGAGAGGGATCTTGGAGTCTTAGTGGACAACCAGCTGAATATGAGCCAGCTGTGTGCAGCGGCAGCCAAAAATGCCAATGCAATCTTAAATTGCATTAACAGAGGGATACAATCAAGATCAAGGGAAGTGCTAATACCACTCTATAAAGCCTTATTAAGACCACACCTAGAATACTGCATCCAGTTTTGGTCACCACCGGCTGGGGAATTCTGGGAGTTGAAGTCCACAAGTCTTAAAGGTCCAAAGTTTGGAGACCTTTGGCCTAGGACTTCAAACCAGGGAAGCAAGAATCCAAGTTTTTATTAGAATTTAATAAAATAATTATTGATTAAGAATTCACCCTTCAAAACAAAGAAATAAAATTTTCCATCCTTACCTGGATCTGGTGGTGCACAGGTACAGGAATAAAGCGTAATTTCGTTCACTTTAAAATGGGAATTGATGGGGTAATAATCGGCGAGTTTGATCATCTTCTTGAAGGCATCATAGATGAAGATGAAGCTGATCAGAGACGAGAAGCCTTCTTCCGTGAACCGGGTGAAGTACTGAACTAAGAAGCTAGCATCGGTGGCCACCAAGATCAAACAGAGGAAGGCCGACCACAAGCCAATCCAGAGACGGAACTCCAGATAATCAAAGCCATTGTCTCTGCAAAGGAAGAAGCCAAGTGGGATTGAAAATAAAGAAAATAAACGAGGGGGAAATAGCATACACCTATTTAAATGGTATGCAGGTTCTTGACTTATAACCTTTCGTTTAGTGACCGTTCGAATTTGACTTATCAGCCTTTTCCATACCACTGTTGCAAGTATGCCCATGGTCATCTGATCAAAATTCAGATGTTTTTCAAGAAGAGATTCGACTGCCATTTGTCAGAAATAGTTTCCTGCTTGGGTGGAGGGTTGGACTAGATGACCTACAAGGTCCCTTCCAACTCTGTTAATATATTTTTTAAAAAACTGGCTCATATTTAAAGGTGCTTTTTCAAGAGGCAAAGAAGAGACGTTTTGTTTCTTCAGTCAGAACTGAAGAAGTGTTCTGCCCTAGGCTCCCTTAAAAAGCAGGAGGCAGGAATTGTCCCAGCAAAACCTCTTTTATTTACGCGACTGTGAATTACCGTATTTTTCGGAGTGTAAGAGGCCCTGGAGTATAAGGTGCACCTTAGTTTTTGGGGAGGAAAATTTTTAAAAAGCTGATTGGGAGGTGGATCAGCCTCCCGGAATATCCCGAATCAGCTGTCCCCAGAGGTGAATTTTAGCAACAGATTTGTTGGTTGGGAGCTCTGTGCCTTGCTTTTTTTTTTTTTTTGCTTTTTTTTTCTGCCTCTGAAACTTCTGAAACTCCACTTCAGAAAAAACTTTTTTTCCTGCCTATGAAAGCCTCTTAAACAGCTTCAGAAAAAAAGTCTCTGAAGCTCTGTTTGGGGGCTTCTTTTCTGAAGCTTCATTTCTGATGCTTTTTTCAACCTCTGAAACCTCTGTTTGAGAAGCCGGGTGGGGCTACATTCAGAATATAAGACGCACCCAAATTTTCACCCTCTTTTTGGGGGGGGAAAGGCGCGTCTTATACTCCGAAAAATACAGTACTTTCATTCACGGTCAGCAAGGTTTGTCCAAACAGTTTTTCAAAGGAATATTTATCAACACAGACCTTATCTCGCTTGGCAAGCTGCCATGTAACTTGTTTCCAAACGCAGAGTAAGGCAAAACTTGGCACAGAGTCTCTTAAAGTCACAAACAGAACTTTTCACTCTTGCAACTACTGACCGAACGAATTGTTTCCTGCAAAAGCCCCCTCCCCGTTCGCTCCTCTTTTGTTTCCTATGGGAGGGGCCAATCATCTCCAAGGCGTGACTTTACTCTCAAGTCAACCCTGCTTTCTGAATTGTTCTTGTCTTCTGGCAGCTCTGCGCATGTGCACATTGGGAACGGGCTCCAGCTGTTCCTCTGTCTCATTGCTGCCTATCTCTCTCTCTCTCTCTCTCCCTCCGACGCAGAGCCCTCGTCCAAGCTTTCCCCGTCCCCCAGGACTGGCCAAAGTTCCTCCCCAACCTCCTCACTGTCTGACTGCTGCCAGCTCTGCTTCAAAGAAAAAATGAGGAAGCTTCAAAGAAAAAATGAAGGAAGTCCAGCTGCCTTTTTGCAAAAAAAGCACCTTTGGGACAACCATGACCTGGATGATTGAGAACCTCCGTAGATATTTGACTCATATTTATGACGGTTGCAGTGTCCCGGAGTCCTGGGATCACTTTTTGCGACCTTCTGACAAGAAAACTCAATGGGGAAGCCAGATTCACTTTACAACCAGATAACAACTGCAGTAATTCCCTTAACAATTGTGGCAAGAAAGGTCGTAAAGGGGAACAAAATTCACTTTAACAACTGTCTTGCTTAGCAATGGAAATGTGGGCCTCAATGCGGTTGTAAGTCAAGGACTACCTGCATTATTTATTTTCGGGAATAACTAGTCATTCCGGAATTGAGGTCCTTCAGAAGGGCAGACTTGTGGGCCAACTTTTCTGGAGGACGCTTCTAGAGTAGGTTGCTGTACATTTTTCTATCAGAAGCCCCCATGATATCACCAGCCCCTCTTCCTTTCAGACTTACTTGCTAAAGTTAAATAAAAGTCGTTCGAAGACCAAAACGGGACCGGTGCTGCTCAGAATAGTAAGTGGCTGGCCGGCAAATAGACAAAAAACAGCTCCTGTAACGGCTGTGCCCAAAAAGCTCTCCAACACCCCCTAGATGCAAAAAAACACAAGCAAATACATCCACAATCATTAAATTCGTTCCCACTCCAGTGTTTTAAATACCCAGCATGTCCCACCCAGAGAAGAATGGACAAATCTGGAAGCAAACTTCTTTTTTTTCCATTCCTGGAAAGCAAAATCTGTAAGGTTATTATGAGATCCCCTATTGTAACACTGCAGTTTAGAGCAGGGGTGTCACACTCAAGGCCGGGGGGGTCAGATCCAGCCTGCGGGGTGATTAGATTTGGCCCACCCTGGAAACAGCGAAGGACCGGCCTGCAGTGCCTCTGCCAGAGAAAATGGAGCTCGGGAAGCTGCAACGGCCTCCTGCAACCCTCTGCCAGCATAAATGGAGCTCAGGAGGGCCGAGCAATGAAGATGATTAGGGGGCTGGAGCAGGGATGGGTTCTAATTTTTTTTACTACCGGTTCTGTGGGCGTGGCTTATTTTGTGGGTGTGGCTTGGAGGTCATGTGACTAGGTGGGCGTGGCTAGCTGGTCAGAGTCAATTCTGGAAGGTCCTCGCACTTATGACCAGTCCTCGCACTTACGACCCGACTCATTTGTTTGCTTTTAACACTGATCAGCTGTAGGACGGCCCTTTGAAGCCCCGCGGCAAGAGTTTAAACAGTTTTTTTCCCTCTAGTCATCAGCTGGGACTCAGGAGGCAGCAATAGATTGGGGGTGGGACCAAATAAGAGGTAAGAATAACGTGGGTGGGAGGGGGGAGAACCGGTTCGGTGACGTCATATCGTCACCGCTACTGGCTCGGCCGAACCGGACCGAACCAGTAGGAACCTACCATTGGGCTGGAGGATAAAACATAGGAAGAACGGCTGCAGGAATGGGGTACATCTAGTCTAGTGAAAAAAAGGACCAGGGGTGAATGATAGCAGTGTTCTAATATCTGAGGGGCTGCCAGAAGAGGGGGTCAAGCTATTCTCCAAAGCCCCTGAAGGCAGGACAAGAAGCCATGGATGGAAACTAATCAAGGAGAGAAACAACTTGGAACTAAGGAGAAATTTCCTGACAGTGAGAACAATTCATCAGTGGAACAACTTGCCTCCAGAAGTTGTGAATGCTCCAACACTGGAGGATTTTAAGAAGAGATTGGATAACCATTTGTCTGAAATGGTAGAGGGTTTCCTTGTTTGAGCAGAGGGTTGGATTAGAAGATCTCCAAAGTCCCTTCCAGCTCTGTTATTCCGTTACCAGTGAGAAGCTCCAAAGGTCTCCCTCCTTGACAACTCCTGAAGAAATCCCTGTATTTATATCCCCAAACACCCCCTTCCAGATATGAACCCTTTCATACACAGAGCCAGAATTTCCATCACTAAGCAAGGCGGTCGTTGAGTGAATTGTGCCTGCGCCAAAGGTGCTTTTTCAAGAGGCAACTGGACTGTCTTGTTTGGAGACAGCAAAGTCCACATTTTTGGACAGAGGGGACTGCTGGTTTGAAAGAGGGGTCAAAGAGGCCATCTGTGTCAAAATTGAATAGGCCTCTCTCAACAGAGCGGGAGGGATACCACATCATCTATCTCCTGCTTACAACACAGTCCTTTCAGCAGTTCCAAGAAGGCTCCACACCCATTATCACCACGCAGGTGACCCTGAGGGCACAGACAAACCTCCAAGTGGCCTCAACAACTCTCGAAAAGAGCCTGCGGCGAGAAAGTTCATAAAATGGGGCAAAGTTCACTTAACAATCGTTTTGCATGGCAACAGAAATTTTGCAGTCCATTGTGGTCGTAAGTGGAAGACTACCGGTATTCTTCATAGTGACGTCCAAATTTTGGCTAATAGGCTTGGCCCAGTGAAATTTCATTTATTTGTAGGAAACCGGTCAAAAAACAACAACACTCAACAATCTCCTTTAAAGATTGAATGGTACTTTCATTTCCTTTCTGAAAGCTGCTCTTTTTATCATCCCCCCCCCTATTTTTTTATCCTTGTAGTTATTTTTGACTTTTATGATTCATATTTATTGTGTTTATTCAGTAGCCTCTGGGGCGTTTACATTAAAATACAGGACCGGGACTCTGTCTATAAATAAACAGATAAATCTAGTATTCAGTTCAAACCATTTAACATATTTGTATGTTAAATAACAGAAAGAAGACAGTTTTTGTGGAAGCACTAAACTTTGATTCAAGCCAGCCCCACAAGCCAAAACTACTTGCATCACAACCAAACCAAAAACAGCCTGTAGTACAGTGGACTAGAGCACTGTTATTAATATCTGCTGCTTGCAATTACTGCAAATTCGAATCTCACCAGGCTCAAGGTCGACTCAGCCTTCCATCCTTTCTAAGGTGGATAAAATGAGGACCCGGTTTGTGGGGGCAATAAGCAGACTTTGTATAAATATACAAAAGTATGAAGGCTATTGCTTAACGCACTGTAAGCCGCCCTGAGTCTCCGGAGAAGGGCGGCATATAAATTAAAGCAAAAAAACAACAACAACAAAAAACATCCTCTCTATCTGCATGAGCCAAAACACTGGACAAGCAATGAGAGTTTCTGTACCCCAGTGGCTAAGACGCTGAGCTTGTCGATTGAAAGGTTGGCAGTTCAGCGGTTCGAATCCCTCATGCCACATAATGGAGTGAGCTCCCATGACTTGTCCCAGTTTCTGCCAACCTAGCAGTTCGAAAGCACATAAAAAATGCAAGTAGAAAAATCGGGACCACCTTTGGTGGGAAGGGAACAGCGTTCCGTGCGCCTTTGGCGTTGAGTCATGCCGGCCACATGACCACGGAGACGTCTTCAGACAGCGCTGGCTCTTCGGCTCTGAAACGGAGATGAGCACCGCCCCCTAGAGTCGGGAACGACTAGCACATATGTGAGAAATCTATCATGCAGCATTTCAAATTATATTTGAAAAGATACTATTCCAGGCTGCCACAAAGAAGAGGGGGTCAACTTATTCTCCAAAGCACCTGAAGACAGGACAAGAAGCAACGGATGGAAACTAATCAAAGAGAGAAGCAACCTAGAACTGAGGAGAAATTTTCTGACAGAACAGTTAATCAGTGGAAAAACCTGCCTCCAGAAGTTGCGGGAGCTGGGTCAGATCATCACAGAACATGAGGACCCAGATTGTGGGGACAATAAGCTGCTTTGTATAAAAAAGAACACCGCTTAGGGGGGCCAAAAGCCCTACTAAGTAGGTATATACAAAAGTATGAAGGCTATTGCTTAACACATTTTAAGACGTGCTGAGTCTCCGGAAAAGGGCGGCATATAAATCGAACTAATAAATAAATAAATCACATTTGCATGTTTTCGAACTGCTTGGTTGGCAAGAACTGGGACCAATTGATGGAAGTTCTTTCTGTCATGGGGCTCGGACTCTCGGGTTTCGAACTGCCGAGCAGTCAACCATTCAATGGTCTTGTGACTCAGCGTCCTAGCCACGTGAGCCACCGCAGCTCCTTGCAGTGTGGGATGAGACTTCCGGCAAAGGTGTGTTGCCCAATTCCATCCCGTTGAAAATGGCTTCTTCAAAAACGTGACCCCACCTGCATATTTTCTGTCGCATCACCCAGCAGGCCTCCAAAAGTGATGGCGTTGGTTATCGTCGCCAGGTAAATGAAGAGAATAGCCGAGAGGGCTTGGATGTTGAAGGCATCGTAGAAGTCGCTGGCAAAGAAAGGGGCCTTCCTCTTGATGTCTTTGATTAAACCCCCAAAAAATCTAAAAAGAAGAAGAAGAAGAGGTTTCACAATGACATTAGTCCACGGGGCGAAGGAGATCTTGAAAACAGCACCCCAAAACATAATCCGAGGGCTGTTGTAATGGCTTCCCTAAAGAAGGATGTGAGTTAAAAACGATCTGAAGGAGAACTTTAATTTAAAAAAACCCAGATCATTTACAGGTAGTCCTTGATTTATGACTGCAGCTGAGCCTAGAATTACAATGGTAAGGTATTGCAGTCGTCAATCAAGGCATCATGTCATCAGACTTGGTTTTTTTGTAGCATTTTGGCAACATTTGTTAAGTAAAGGCAGCAGCTGTCAAGTAAACACCATGCTCAATTAAATGAATCTGTTTTCCTCAATGGGAGGTTTTTTTGTTTGTTTTGCTGGAAACTGGATGTAAATGCTGGGAACCGGCATAAGATGTCACAAAAATCAGGGTCACGTGATCACATTGCAAATGGACATGAAACTGAGCCAGTTGCCAAACGCCCAAAATGCAATTGTCAGGGTTCTGACAGATGCCCTAATTAAATCATGAGCCTCGAAACAAGCTTCAAAAAAAAAAAAATCCAGTTATTTATTAGGAGCTTCATGGTTCCCAAATGAAGCCAACTCCGACCCCACGTAATTTACGGTCCCAATCATGACCCTGTTTCCCCCCCCCCTCCAGGGTGTGTCATCAAACACAACCAACAACGGAGCAATTTCGTGGGTTGTAGAGATCACTCCCCTGCGGCCGCTGTGGGTAACCCTGGGAGACAGCCTTGAGAAAGATATGCCTGGAATGTGCTCCTGTCTTTGGCTGCCGTGCTGCTTCATCTGTTTCCCATCCCCCTTGCCTATGACAACTCAAGAGCAGGCCAGGGATGCTTGGCGAGTTGACAGCAATCACATAACAGGGGATGTATGTGTGCAGTTGTTGTAACTCCCAAAACAGATTCTAAATAGTTCTAGGGAGGTCTGTTATAACTTCAAATGGTGGTTAAGCAATTGGTTATAAGTCAAAGACTACCTGTATAACACACTAGCGAAGATATGAACTTTTGTCCCTTACTTGCCAGTTCGCTGCAATTCCTCACAGTCCCCGTGACCCCCTCCTCCATTTCCTCCCTCGTGAGGGGTATCTCCATTCATCTGGACATTCTCGCTACCTGCGTACAGGTTTTTCCTGGATGGACAGAATGAGAACAGAACTGAATGTGCACATTCGTTGCAAATGTCACACAAACACAAATAACCAGGCATGTGTACTTAAGCCTTCTGTAATCTTCAGAAATTACGTTTGGTCTTAATAGGTAATATGAACTAACCTGTCCTGTGTTCAGAAATACCGGGCTCCAATACTGATGCATTTTAGTCATATTATTTTTTAAAATTATCTAGTTAGGGCTTTTAATTTTCCTAACATTTCCCTTTTAATGGACATCACCATTGGTCAAGGGACTTTGTAAATTGCTTGTTGCATATTACATGGTGCAGAAATACTTTTAATAAAAGAAAGTATACTACGAAAAGAAAATCCACCTCCGGAAAAGAATGATTTTCCTAATCTTTTAACTTAACTTAAACAATAATTGGAATGTATGTGTTTTTATATCCAAACTTTTATCAAATATAAAAGCCACAGTGATGCAGTGGTTAGAGTGCATTACTGCAGGCTACTTCTGCTGATCACCGGCTGCCAGCAGTTTGGCAGTTCAAATCTCACCAGGCTCAAGGTTGACTCAGCCTTCCCTCCTTCCGAGGTCGGTAAAATGAGGACCCAGATTGTTGGGGACAAAAGGCTGGCTCTGTAAACCATTCAGAGAGGGCTGTAAAGCAGTATATAAGTCAAAGTGCTATTGCTATTGCTATAAGCAAAATCCATGCCACAAAATCTGTGATGACAACGGCATTGCCATAAAGCAATTTTTTTTTTTTTCATTTTGCGGATGACTGGAAGGTAAAATAATCCATAGATTTTATATGTGATGGAAGTTGTTTTGTGACTCTGGGTGGTGGGGGTTGTGATATAAAAAAAGAACAACAACTCTAAAATCCACACCTTCCATATGGCATTGCAAAATCCTATGGAGAAGTAACTTTGTGAAAGTTCAGGAATAAACTGTTCTGCTCTTAAGGATGTTGTCATTATTTTGAATCAGTCGCTTGCTTTTCCTCAATGCTTTATCTACTATTTTTTTTCCTTCACTTTTCCCAAGAAGGAAAGATCTGGGCATAGGACCTGATTTTTTTTAGAGCCATTGCATTTATCACCTTTTAAAGGTCAATGCCACCTTCCATCCTCAATATCAAGATTGTTAAGGAATCTGAAACAGATATCCTGGAGAAGACAGTATCATCCTCTTCTTCATCCAACCAGTTCACGTAACACATATTAAATCTACTATTTATCCAACCACCAGATTATTAATGAACAAGATCTATCCATCTATCATCTATCTATCTATCTATCTATCTATCTATCTATCTATCTATCATCTATCTATCATCTATCTTCATCTAACTAGCCATCCTCCCTCCCTCCAGCTATCCATCCATCCATCGATTCATCCCTCCATCCATCCAGCAATCCATCCAGCTATCCATCCATCCATCCCTCCATCCCTCCAGCTATCCATCCATCCAGCAATCCAGCAATCCATCCAGCTATCCATTCATCCATCCAGCTATCCATCCAACTATCCATCCATCCAGCTATCCATCCATCCATCCATCCATTCATCCAGCTATCCATCCAGCTATCCATCCATCCAGCTATCCATCCAACTATCCATCCATCCAGCTATCCATCCATCCATCCATCCAGCTATCCATCCAACTATCCATCCAGCTATCCATCCATCCATCCAGCTATCCATCCATCCATCCATCCATCCATCCATTCCTCATCCCTCCCTCCCTCCCTCCCACCCTCCAGCTATCCATCCATCCATCCATCCATCCATCCTCCCTCCCTCCCTCCCGCCAGCTATCACACAGGACAGAACTCCATTACCTTTTGTCAGAAGACGGCAGAGACTTGGGGGGCTCTATCCTTATGGCAGGATCCCACTCCCCAGGAGGAAGCACAATGACTTCGTCCAGGAATTCATCAATCCCAGCGATCAGATCCTGCCTGTCTTTGGCTTTGTAGGCTATGTCGTGAAATACCTATAAAGGGATGAATGAAGAAGAGGTCAGAGGCAGAAGGAAAAGGCCATCTAGATATTTTTGCATACGCAACTATATGCATCCTATTTATGTAACACCCATCTATTTGTCCAGGTAAAGCCTTCCCTATCGATAAAAGAATTATTTGTAACTCAAGGTTAAAACGAGGGGTCCCTGGTACTGTCTGAGCTTGGTTGTTTTCTTGCAGACGTTTTATTGCCCAGCTAGGTAACATCATCAGTGTTAGTAAGGAATGGGGTTTCTTTTCCATTTATATTCCTGACAGGGCAAAACACTAGAATATAAATTGAGAGCAAACCCCATTCCTTATTGATGATGTTACTAAGTTTGGGTAAACGTCTGCAACAAAACAACCAAGCTCAGAGAGCACCAAAGACTTCACAGTCCTCCTCCTCCACTCCACAAATCCCACTCCCATCTAGCACTGATGACATCATCTAGTTTGGTAATGAAACGTCTGCAAGAAAACAACCAAGCTCAGAGAGCACCAAGGACCCTTCAAACCTTCAGTACCTACTCTGACCAATAGTCTTCCAAGTTTAGAGAAATGCAGATTTCCTATCACTTGCTACGTGAGCATTTGAACTCAACATGTGCCCTCTACTATCTTAAGGCCATATCCAATCCACCAAATCTCTTTTTTTTTT